CCCTTCATTTTCACAAAGGTTATTATTTCCATGACAGATCGATCGTTTCAGATAGCATTGAGAACCGAATTTATCTAGCGGACATACACAGAGTGTCGGCGAGAGACAGATTGAATCATTCAAGCAATGACAGACATGAGTTTCTTGACATGTGGAACCTGAATAACCTGGATTGCATTGACAGAAGTATCGAGACTTTTGATTGACGTATCTAACGCATCGACCATGGTGTCCACAAGACAAAGAACACCAGTCAGTTTGTTGTCGACTAGGAATGAATAACTGTGACACTAGTCGATTGACTGGTAGAAATGGAAATGCAATGAGGAGAAACCAACTGGCCCAATAGGTCATGGTAATTCGCTCAAAAATATCAATATGAATGGAATAGCTAAGCGATTCGTTCTTCGGTCGATTTGGATACAATAAATATATATTGAATTTGGTGCTACAATCACGAGTAGGAACAAAGGTAATTTGTTCGTGGTTGGGTGCAATGCGTCCATATTGATCTATTAGCATAATTATCACTTGAAATACCATCGGTGTGACAGTAAAACTGCGTGATATAATTTGAAGAGTCAAACTGACACGTTGACTTTGCCACTGACATTGAGCACCGAAATAACTCGGCGGACAAAGACATTGTCGACTGCGATTGGCACCCGACAGTATAAGAATACCTTGATGACAAAACCAACTATCGACAAGATTGGTAGTCGACTTGTCAGACACATGTTGATCGTTGCGTGATTTGATAAGAAGTGATGGCGTTTTTGAGACGGGCAACACGTATCCAAATCGAGATGGTTTGAAGAACGGACTATGATGATTGTCGAAATTGTTCATAATAAATGCGCATCCATTTGTCGTGTTCTTGTTCAATATAATGGGATCATATTCTAGAAAAGAATGATCTGGCTGTCGCAAACAAATTCCGTTGTGGATCGAAGTCGATGAAGTCTGACGACGACACAAAAGATCGGTAGTGATACAGCGAGTATTGTTCCAAGAGATAGAGTTGTTTGAGTCCGTGCTATTCTGAATAATTATCACTCGACGATACCACGAACCCGCACACTGATCAAGATAGTTTTCAAAAATATATTCGAACGGTAAACAATGCCATCGTTCACTGTTGATCAAATCTCGACATTGATGCTCATTCGATGCACAATGGCTGTATGAACAACCAACCTCATCGATGCCATTTGTACAATCCCAAAGTTTGTTGCAACGTACATAGACATTATTGCAGGGCCATAATTCACAATGGGTCTCATCTGTTTCGTTTTGACCGATATTTATACTATCGATCCAAGTATCACAAACATGAGCGAATGGTATGTGATTGCTCAAAGTCAATCCAATGAAGAATCGCTCATCTTCTTTTCTAGGACAGTCGAACACATTATTACCAAGCGCCACTGGGGATAAACATTTCGTTGAGTTCCATTGACAAACAAAACGGTGAGAACCATTGAAGTAGCAGGCGGAAAAATTTTCATCTTCACCATAATAACAATCTGGAAAGCCGTCGGCGACTCGATGCAAGGCAATGCGTTTCAAGGATTGTGTACAGTGAAAGAATGAGGTATTCACACACGATCGATCAGTTCCACGCGCAGTACATTGGCGGTACAGCTCGGTAAAGGCCATGAACATTTTATTGAAATCATAAATGACTACTTGCTCAAAAAGATCGAGAGTGCGACAACAGACAATTCCATGATCGAGTCGATGTTGAATGGACGAAGAACACAACGTCGGACATTGTTGAATCTTGAAACAGACCAAATCTGGAGCAACATTCAGCTGAAATTCTGCTATTGATCGATTAGTGAAGTAGGCCAATTGAAAAAAGCCAAAGAAGAGTGGCTGATGTGGTAGAAGAACCCATTCCGTCGGGCAATGCACAGCTAGTGGCTCACATGTGCCTTTGAAAATTGGTTCAGTCTGGAACGTATCAAGATGCAGATTACTGAAACCTAAATACGAAAAATCAATTCTTTGCTGAGAATTATTGAATATAGGAAGCCTCTCTATCACTCAACACTATTCTTGCTTAAGTTTCCCCTTAGGATTGATTTACCACTTAGAACAGCCCGCTCAGACTGAAATTTTCACGAATGAATGATCCAAGTGAGAAACGCTTGTGGTAAAAATTTCAGCCTGATGTACCTTACTTGACTGAACTTCCGGCTTCTATTTATAGCTTTCAGGAGAATCGAAATAACTTCATTGTTATAATAGGCACAGAGCTCGGACTGGTTTCAAATTAAAGCTAACCTCTGTGTTCAATCTTTCATTGAACAAAATTTTGGAACTCCATTTCATTCATTTTTTATGAGCATTTCGGTGGACATGGTGTTCAAAATAAGCATAAAAAGTGACTCCCTCGACAGTAGATCCGCTTTTCTCAGTCCAGAAATCAAGTATAAAAACTCCGTCCGATCAAAAGCTAGCTCTCATTCAGACCTTTAAAATAAAAAAACAACATCGGTTATGCTCTGAACCTGGTGGGAGTTATTTCAGTTTTTCAGACTGGGAGCCGTGTTTTGAGAAAGACCTAAAGAAGTTTTAAAAATCATTTTTTTCATTCAAATCCAGAGCAAAACCACACTGAAATGGTAAATTCATAATATGTGCCAGTGTTATGTTTTATAGCGCATAAAAAATGATTTAAACTACCACTATCGGTTTTATTTATGTAAATATAATGATTTATCCAATGCGGAAACAAATAAAAGGCAGTTTTCCAAAAACTGGAAAGCGTTAAAAGAAACGGAAAACTCGTGAAATAAACATGATGGGGAGGAGGTCGAAATTATTTTCGAAAGCCCCTTACAATTTGGCCTTTTTCCGAAGAGCTATATATATTTTATAAGAGAAAATTTCGTTGCATCTCCCTATGGTAAAAACTCAGCTTCGGGCTTTTTCCAAGGAGTGAATAGCGGAATCCTCTAATTCTGAAATCCGTCGGAATCCTAGGAGATTCTGAGAAAGTTTTCGTAATCCTCGGGAATCCGATAGAGCCTTAAAGTCGTAAGCCCCTTCTCTTCCTGAAAAAAGTCTATTTTAGTCGAAAACAACAAAATTTAGATGAATGCATGAGAAGATAGCTCGCAGTACCGTCTTGCATAAATGATGACTTTATATTTGGCACCTTGTTTTTTCCAGATGTTTTCGTCATTTTCTGCTTGAAGAATACGCTTTTCCTAGCACAATCATAAAAGCGTTTTCGCTTTTTCGCAATTTATGTTTTTTAGATGGTGGATCTTAGAACTCTTAAAGGAGCTTCATTGTAATCGATGACTTTTTTCGTTTGAAATATCACCTCTAAGATGCATAACATGACAGAGTTCTTTCTTTTTTGAATTAACCTTTATTACTATTGTATAAAAATGTGTCCGCATAATTAGAGCATCATTTGTTGAGAGTTTGTTGAGACATTGAATTTTTCATTCCTGTTATTCCCATAGAAAGTAAGAATTTACAAAAAAAGGCTCTGCCATACCCCGCATCCTGACATGCTATTGCAAACAAAAGAAAATGAAATATATAGAATGAAGGCTGACAGAAAAGTTCGGGTAGCCAAATGAGCTATTTTTTACCCTTGTTTCGTGAATACTTCCTAAAACTATTATGTTATAGTGCTGGAAAATTTCCCATATCCTATCTGCTACAGCTCCAACAAATTCAGAAAATTTCATGCGACTTGGCTGTTCGTGAGCCAAGATTGATTTTTGAGGAGCGCAGGAAATAAGTCCTTGGATATATTGCTATCGTAGAAAAATCTGCCACCATGCATGAACGATTCATGGAACATTTCTAATAACACTTTTCAGAAATTGCTCATTCAAAAGCTTATGTTTTCTTTATGGGCAAGGCAAATTTATCTCTCGTAATGTGCATTTCATACTATGAACAATCAACATACAACAAAATAGAATATAGCTCATAAATATCAAAACAAGACCATAAATTCTTGAAAATAAAGCATTTAAAAAATGTGTCGATAATAATAGAAGAATTATCGATAATACCGATGCTACTTGGATACAATTTCATGCATATGTAAGCAGTAACAAAAATCTGAAATCTAAGTTCTTAAAGGGTATGGATGTGAATTTTGTCTGCATCCACGCACACGTGTGCAGATCTGAGCAGTCATCCTCTTCCGCAATGTTGAACATTGCGCAATCAGTTCCGCCCCGGAACCAGCTACCTCCAATTCCGAGAAGTAATTCCGGTACGGAATTCTGGGAATTGAGTCGAGACGGAATAGCACGGAATTCCTGGGAATCTCAACCAATTCCCGAATTGGAGGTAGTTCCCGTAATTTCGGAATCCGACGGCATTCCTAGGAATTCCTGAGAATTTCCTCGCGACTCAATTCCCGGAATTGGATGGAATTGATTCCGCCCGAATCTGATTCCGCAATGTTCAACATCGCGGAATAGGATGTATTCTCGCAGATCTACAGCCATATCCACATCATAAACTAAAACTTACTAATTTCAATAAATATTCGCGGACTGATCAGTTTCACGATTATTGGCTTAGAAACCGTAGCGTCCATGGACTGAGAGATTATTACAAGTTATCGAAGCAAGTAAAATCGAATAAAAGAAGCATTCAAACATGTCTGAATGCTGTTACGCTAATCACATGATCATTAATATCAAAGTAGGTCGAAATGTAGTCGTTAATAAAGAAACTCATTGATGCTACTATGTACTTAAAGCTTTGTTAGAATAAATTGACCTGAATTTATTGACAGATTAGCGAAGAAATAGATTTAGTTGCTGCGCTTGGGGCGGAAATAAGGCAACCCTAAGAATAATAACTTAACACATTCAATTAGCTTGCCATCAATATATACTTTTGAGGAAATCCTAAAAATGTAGAGGATTCTGCATTCCACGATTCCGATATTCACCCTTTGACTTCTTTCGAAATATTGCATTTTGCGAGGGGAGGGGCGCCCTTAACTTCTCTTATGTTTCTACCTTACCGAAACTACGACTGTTATGCAGTGCACAGAAGATTGCTTGTCGACAGTGGTCATCGAGGATATAATTAAAGGATGTGAGAAGAATTCGAGTCAATTCATAGTCACGTCGATTCGAACAGAAAGTTCGTGGTGCTGGCATGATACTGCGCAAGATATATTCTCCATCACCACACGGAAACGAGCGAACATGCCGTCCAGTACGTTCCTCGCATTGAAAAGTCGAAATATTGATACATTTCCAATTAAAGGACTGATAGCTTGGCACACTGTAGAATTCTGGTTCATCACTGGCATCTAGACAATCGACGCTGAGTCGACTATCGCGTAGGAATTCGAATGGAATGCATTGACCACCATAATGACATCGATATTCATCTTCTACACATTGTGTTGTTTCCAAAAGTTCACACCATTGTTCATCTTCTCCATTGAGACAATCGATTTTCTGATCGCAAACTTCACGCCAATCTAAGCATAGTGGCCATGGACCACGATCGCAACTCGACAATAAGGAATAGCATGTACCTGTGGTGGTATTCATCATGCTGGTTGAACGATCAGCAAAGTTCAATCGAATCATGTCGCTGAATGAGACCGATGCGAGATTATCAAATTGATATTGACAGATTGAACCGAACCATGGAGGTGAACAATTGTAGAAAACTTCATTGATACTGCCGCGATTTCTTTTATAGTGCTGAGCCACATCGATCGGTGCCGACCAAGAGAGTAACTGCTCGTCGGTGATATTCTGCCGATGTAATTCAGCGAAGTTAATTCTTTGTCCTATATTGTCGTTCGGAATGGTCGGCCATATGTCATTGTTGAGATCAGGTCGTATGCAGTATGGAATCAAATGAGAGTTGCGAATGTACCTTTCTCTATTATCTTCTGTATCGTCAATAAGATAAGCGTACAAACAATCGAAGTATGTGTATTGGGCGTGGTCTAAGACATATTGACTCGTTTGATACATCGAATAACGAGCATCGATCGATAAGCAAGCAGTCAAAAGTAGGAAAAAGCGTAAAACGCTCATGATGAAGTAAAAGTGCAAATGAGAATCAATGACTTCTTCATTTCTCTCTTGCAAAAGCACGATAACGCTAAAAAAAACTTTGAGCTAACGGAAACAAGCATTCCTTTTACTTTTTCCTGTGACGGTGATAAGCATCTCATTTTTTCTTGATAAACATCGATGTGCGCACTCACAACTGTTGCACGCATGATATAGTTCTCGCTTTCATTAAATATGCCATCATGATAAGAGCAGCAGGAAAATCTACGCAGCTCATACGTTTAAGGCGATATTGTCCATGCTGTCTCCATATTTACTTGACTTTGTGTAAAACTTATCGAAATGAGAGGCGTATACGACGACTACTTGGATGTGAAGAAGGAATCCATGTGAAGTGCACACGTACAGCAAATCAATCATTATGCAAAGTAGATTTGACTTAGCACATACACGAGTTGATGTTCATCAAAGCGCGCATGTTCTATTTATCAGAACTCCTTATGACTTTTCTACATATGAACGCAGTTCTCAAACGTTGATTTTCTTACCCATTGTTTGCTGCATACGTCATCAAACAAGGTCCTTTTGATATTCATCACCAGTTACTTAAAAAAGCGGCAAGAACCAACGCATGAAACGTGAATACGAAGTAAAGAAACCAAAAGAAAATGCGTGCAAATCATTGTATACATCATGAACAGAACGATACGAGCTCTTCGCTTGGCTCCATTTACTGAAATTGTCGTATCATTTTTACATCAAAATATGATCGGTGAAGTTCTGCACGCGAAGTTATTTAACTCAAAGTTTCTTTTCGCGCAAGAAAAGAATTTACTTGAAGCAATGGGCCAAAAACCATGGGGATATTAAAGCACAAGTTCATCATGATGCATACTCTGTCAAACAACTTGTTCATTCGACTTCGAGTTTTGTTCAGAAGAATTCTTCATTTCATAGAAGTCATCCCACAAAGCAAAAGTTAGAAAGTCAATATCGTTCCTTGATTACAATATGCCTTTCACCGATTATGCAATCTGGTGAACTAGAATATGGTGCACTGTGGCTATGACTGTGTGTATGGATATGAGTCCGGAGGAAAATAATATCCAAATCTACACCCATCCAACTAATATTTGTGGCAGAGTTAATAAGAGAATACATCTTATTCCACGATGTTGAACATTACGGAATCAGTGCCGCACGCGGAATCCATTCCCTCCGATTCCTGGAACTCGATTAGCGTGCTACAGTACACGTCTAAGCAACATTGATCGAGTTCCGGCAATTACCTGAATTCCGGGAATTCCATTGAAACGGAATTCATTGGAATTCCAAGAGCTGCTTCCAATTCCGGAATTCCTTACCGGAATTACTTCTCGCACTCGCACTCACCCTCACGTATCCTGTTGTGGTTGAAGATTAATCTCTGAAATAATTAAGTAATTCCGGGAATTGAGTGGAGATGGAATTGCTCGGAATTCCGAGAAATTCTTAGAAACTCCTTCTGGAGTTAGTTCCCAGAATTGTGGGAATTGACGGACTCGATCAATGTCGACTAAGTCTGTTATGTTGAATGATGATAGAGTTCCCGAAATTGGGTGGAACTGATTCTGGGGGCAGAATAGGATGACTGCTCGTTAATAATACACCAGCAAAGATAATATTTACATCATTATTACAACAAAATAATTTAAATAATTTAATTTTAGTTTTATATGCTTCTGTTTATAGTACACCCGAAATAATTAATGAGATCCTTGAAGAGAAGGCTACCCATCATGACAGACTTCATGCACATATCGGTAACACTCAAATATATTAAGAAAAGTTCAGCATTTTTTTTTATAGGCTTTCAAAAAGAAGGTCAAGATACCAATGCGGCAGTAACGATCGAATTTTTCCGGGATGTGGGTGCGCGTGTGGCGTGGGTGTGGGCCCATGTCTTTCATCCCGGCAATTTCCCGCCGGGATCCCGCTCAAAAAATAACGGGATCCTGCGGGATCCCGCGAGATCCCGACAATTCCGCAAAAAATGCCGGGATTCCGACAGGAAATTACTGTTATATTATTGCCTTAAAAAATCAAAGACAGTCGATCAACTCTCAACTTCATCCTTTTTTTGTTTTTTTTCCTTATTGTTAGATTTGAGTACTGTATTATCGTGTTGAATCCATTTTATTATCGACTAATTTCGATATTTTTTTACGTGTTCAAAACGTATAATAAGCGAGAAAATGAAGAAATAAGAAAAGTAAAAAGAGGGTTTTATCACATTAATCATATAAGAACAGCAAAAATACAAAAAATAAATTAGTTGAGATCATATCAATCATGTTGATATGTACATGCTCTCTTAAAAAAATATACAAAGTTCTAGGATTGTGCTGATGGATTTGTTTGAACTGTAGTTCGTTGTTTTTTTTAAACCTTTCCTAGTATTCTGAAGTTTGTTTAAAAATGTTTTATGTAAATTGCACTATTCAATGTTAAAAATATCATCTGATAATCGAAATTTATTTCTTACAGCTTCTAAGAGATGTGATAAGCAATATATGAGACTTTTTGCTAAACAAACACGATAAAATAAATTCTTAGTCAAACCTTGTATTAATTTATAACCATCCTTAAATTTAACTTTTGTTGCATCAAGTTGCTATAATTCGTTACGTGTAAAATAATATCAATTAATGATGTTACATAAAAATTCATCTTTTGTTTAACACCAGTTATTGATGATAAATCAACATTATTTCCATTATTTGGATTTTTATACATCTAAAAAATGAAAACAAATCTTATGAACAATCGATTAGTATAAAAAAAGGGCATGAAAAACATTTTTTAAAAGCTATCTCTTCACATATTATTACTTTGTTTAAAGCCGTTTGAATCTACCATTATTGTTTCAAATATTTTTTCTTCAACTGGTTGTTCTACATTGGGTTCTTGTAATGGTATTTATATCTAAATGGAAATAAATAAATATAAAAAGCATATCCATAATAGTCAGTCTTTAACCGTGCTAGTTTGTAAAATTGCACCATTAATTTGTGTGTGATTTTACTAGAATACGTTTTTAGATTTTCACTCTAGATGGCCTTTGAAAATTGTAGCCTTGGTAACTTACGAAAAAAGATTTCAGATTGTAATATTTTCTGGGTTATTCTTAATCACGCAGTACACGATAAGAAGAAACTAGCCCCAAATGAAACCTTACCGCAACATCTGTGCAGCTGTTGCAGAACATGACTCTTACCTTTTTTTTTACATAAGACTTTTTGTAAATAGAAGTGAAGAGAGAAATTAGTAAATGACTGCTACGAAATACATGAGAATTTGTAACAAAATTCAATGGTTATTTTTATTTATTCGAGCTTTCGATGAAATGCTTCCACCATCATCAGGAAAGATAACAAGAGAAA